TATTCTGAGAAGTTGAAGGTTAGGACTTACTTATATGAGGGACACAAGTCAACCCATCATGATAACTAACCAGGCTGTTATAAGGATCGGCAGTGGGAACAGTGCATTCTACTGGGAGGGAGCTGTTTTAGCTGTATTGGGGGTTGAGGTTAGTTCTTATTAGAACCAAATAAGAAGAGCTATAAAATGCACTGTAATACCAGAGGGGAACAAAGCTGTGCTTCTGAGTTCTAGGTGCTTGGCCTTGCAATTGTGAGGTGGAGTCACTAAAGGAACATCTACAGATCTCACAATGCAGCGCCTTTAATAGACTGGCTTCACCCTAATACCTGCCGTGGTCCTGAATTGCTCAGTTACTGGAGGCAACCTTTCCTTCTTTATTCTGGGGTCAAGCGAACAGCTCTGGAACTGAAGTCAAAGTGTGGCTCCTGCACATAAAAATCACTTTCTATCTGAGTTCTTGTCCTTCTTACTCATAGAGACTGAGTCACTCTGTGGTCACCTCAGCCAAAGGTTATTGTAAAAGCAGAGACAGAGGCTGGGTTATCTGCCAGTCCTCAGGTCCTTCTGCGCCTGCAGGCAAGGGCAGTCAGGAAACTCTTTGCAGTGCATGCTGTGGTGGAGAGGAAGGCAGGCTGATAGCGTTCCACTGAACCTCAGGTCTTCTCCAAAGGCTGGCCCGGTTCCCAAGGCTCACCTTCTGAGAGTTAACACTAGAATCTAGTATTGGAGTATTTTCTGCCCTTCCATGGACCATTACTATATTTACAAAACATTCCTCCATAAGAAATACATATTTTGCCAGGTGGTGGTGGTGCACGCCTTTGATCCTAGCACTCGGGAGACAGAGGTAGGTGGATCTCTGTGAGTTCAAGACTAGTTCAAGTCTAGTCTACAGAACAAGTTCCAGGACAAACTGGCTCCAAAGCTACACAGAGAAACTCTAACTCAAAAAACAAAACCAAACAAAACTAAAAAAAAAACCCAAAAAACAAAGAAAGAATTGCATATTTCAAGGCCTTTTAGAAACCAATTGCATCAAACTTATATGATTTCATGTATTTCACACTGCTGAATATGGTTTTTGAGATTTAAAAATAACCAGATTAGAATATCTCTGTCTTTATGTTCTGTCTGCCTGTCTGTCTGTCTATCTATCTATCTATCTATCTACCTACCTACCTACCTACCTACCTACCTATCCTTTATCTGTTGTGTGACACTCTTCCTGGGGAGATGTCACCAAATGTCTACTCCCTCCAAAAGGAGAAAAGATAACAAGCCAAGCTCCATTCACCTTGCTTATCCAGTGAGTTTCATTGTAGTTATTTACAGGAATATGGATGGGGGAGATTTACAGGAGCAGACACGATCAAAGATAGTAGCCTCACTGAAAGAGTATCTCAGTATGAGTGACAGCCCATGGTTGCTGGAGATCGGGAGTGCACTGTGGCTCTTGCAGGCAGTGTTACAGGTCAGAGAGTCTCTCTTAGACAACTCGATTGATCTGAGCCTTTTCTAGGCATCTTGGCTGGGCTGAGAATGTTTCTCAGCAGTCCTTACTGCTCATATAAGTTGGAGGGGGAAGGCATAGTGAGTCTGGCCAGTTTCAGGGACTTCCTGAAGTTTTTGAACTATTGATGTCCTGATTTTTAATCAGCTTCCCTACAGGAACATTCTGTCTTCCATTAGAGCCGCCTGATTCTCAATGATCTCTCCAAATTGGAATTTTTTTTATCTTAGAGAAAACTGATTTACAATGTTATCATCAGTCTATCCATCTGTCTATCTGTCTATCTATCTATCTATCTATCTATCTATCTATCTATCTATCTATCTATCTA